CAAACGCTAGCTTCAGCGAGAGCCCATCTCAAGGGAAAAACACATAGAAAGCAAGTCGCTGGCGGGTCCTCCTGTGGCTTTTGCACGCGTGCACATTGGCGTGCACACATCACGCCAACACACAAAGAAAGCACAGACAGCTGTTGCTTGATGACCTCTGTTCCTGTTATTTCCAATCCACTTTAAAGCCATCTAACGGAAACAGTAAGTGTTCAGTGAGATACCCGATCAGAAAGTGTGCTGTATGCCTGTGTTACCCAAGTGCAAAGGACAGATAAGTCGACGGCACTCCAACACACTTGTGGTAGAAACTACTTTCTATTTCCAAATAACTTAGACACACGTTCCCTTCGAGAGTCACCCTTGTCCGGCAGTAGTGGCCCACGCCTTTAATCCCAGCACTTGAGAGGCAGACACAAGCGCTCTCTGTGAGTTCGAGGCCAGCCTCATCTACAGAGAGTTCCAGGACAGACAGGGCTATTCAGAGAAACCCTGTCTAGGAAGAAAAAAAAAGCCATCCTTCCTAAGTAGCAAGACCCCGCCCATCACAAGTCACAGGGCACGTCATTTATATCAGCAATGACTTTTTTTTTTTAAGTATCTTTCATCTTGTTTGGCTAGGTAATGCCAAGAATACGGGAGGTATGTAACAATAACAATGTCTGTACAACTCTGGGTCTCCCCCTCCTAGAGTGGAGTCCAGGGTTCCCTTCCGGAGACACGCCATATGTTCACAGGCACTTGTGTTGATTTGCCTCAGGTGACGCTTACTCAAGACAAAGGCAGTTGGGTCCTCCCAGCTGCAGCTTGTTGTGATCTGGGGTGAAACAGGGACCAAGAAAGCCGGAGACAGGGACGGGTCCCTCGGATGGAGTCGGGTTACCTCCCGATGGGCATTTCCGCGGATCGGTTGGGGCTGTCGGTTAGGGCTGTGACACGATCCGTGGACCCCGCAGCCCACTCGGGTCCCCAAGAGCTGGCTGACAGCTCACGGCCAGCTACCCCTCCTGGGTCTGGCCCCGACAGGAAGCAGCCACTGGGCTCCGTCCCTTCCTTCCCTAAACGCGACAGCCCGTCCTTGACCCCCGCAGTGCATGCCAGGGTGGCAGGGGAAAGGTTAAGCCAGAACGGTCACCTGTAGCCACGGTTGGTGGCCCGCGGCGGGATGCGGTAGACGTGGACCTCGGGCTTGACACAGAGAACCGACTCGTACTCGTTCTCCTCCATCGCGACTGCCGGAGCTCACCCAACTTCCGGCTTCTTCCCCGCCCCCTCGGGGCCGGAACTGACGCGACTCTATGACCAGCTCTGTCTAGAGCAGCGCTTCCCGGCCCTCGGTTGCTCCTCGTCGAGTGCCCTCTGCCGGTCACCTTGGGTCAAAACCCTGTTGCTGTGTGCCCTGAAAAGCCGCGAAGCCAACCTAGGACCTAATCCGGAATCTGGTTGGGGGCCAAACTCCTACACCCTGGGTCAGGCCGGCTGATAGGTTAAACTGTGCCTTCTCTGCAGCCTCTCCCTCCTCCAGCCCTCGTACGTGCTTGTTCCCAGCCGAATGCCCTCCTCCCGGCTAACCCAAGAAGGTTCTCAGAGGCTTCTGGAGAAATCTTGCTCCACCACCCTCTGAACTTTTTGTAATCTACTTTGTGTTCAAGGCCCCAGTGGTTTAGCTCAACAGGAGTCAAAATCAAACTTGTGAACTGCAAGCTCCTGGGTATTTTCGCCACTGCTCTATTGCTGTGAAGAGAAAGCGTGGCAGAGGAAACTCTGATAAAAGAAAGCATTTAATTGGGGGGCTCACTTACAGTTTCAGAGATTTAGTCCATTATCATCATGGTGGTGGGAAGCATGGAGCTGGGGGGACCCTCGAAGCCCCTTCCTATTATCCACCTCCCAACAAGGACACCCCTCTTAATTTCTTAATACTTCCAATTTATCAACAGGGAACTAAGTATGCAAATATATCAGCCTTAGGGACATTCTTATTTAAACCACCCTATTGGGGAGTGGGAGGGGGAAGCCACACCTGTATGAAACATTGGATGAGGTTGATAAGAGTGTGAAAAACTGGTTTATTTCAGGTTGGGAGCCAAATTGGTTTGGGACTATCTTGACCTTCTAAATAGCCATTCATTGCCCACCTCTGTGTGTGACCTAATATCCTTGTGACTATTAGGTAAATCTTTTTGGACTGTACCTCTAGCTTCCACCAGTGAAAAAGCTGAGAATGTCTTCAGATAGCATCTGGGGCCAATACCTGACACTTCCCTGCTTTGCCTTCACCCACCTGTCTGATGTCTCCACCAATGGTTTAAAAATGCCTTGATTTATAACTTCTTCATCGCTGGGGTGGTTTGAATGAGGATGGCCCCCACAGGCTCACATGTTTGAATGCTAGGTCATTAGGGAGTGGCACTACTTGAGAGGGACTAGGAGGTGTGGCCTTGTTGGAGGAAGAGAGGCACTGGGGGTGGGTTTTGAGGTTTCAAAAGCACACACCAGTGTAACTGGCTCTCTCTTCCTGCTGCCTGCAGACCAAATGTATAACCACTTCTCCAGCACCATGCCTGCCTGCATGCCACCAAGCTCTCCGCCATGACCAAAATGAACTAAATCTCTGAAATCATAGGCAAGCCCCGATTAAATGCTCTCTTTTTAAAAGAGTTGCTGTGGCCACTGTGTCTCTTCACAGCAAGAGAACACTAGGACAGTCACCAAAAATCCGCAGTTGGTGGCACACACCTTTAATCCCAGTGCATCAGGCTTTCTTTTGGGCCACCAACCGGCTCATAAATAAAAAGATGGAGACTTAATATTAGTTATGAATGCTCACTCATATCTTATGTTTATCCCATTAGCTCTTATAACTTAATTTAATCTGTTTCTTTTCATCTATGTTTTGTCTCGGGGCTTTTTACCTTTAATTCTATAAGTCCTACTTTTCCCACTTCTTTCACGACTGGATGGATGGATGGCCAGCCCTGGTTGTCTCCTTCTCCTTCTCCCTTATTCCCTTCACTCTTCCTTCCCAGCCCAGATTCCTCCTCCTATTTATTCTCTCTGCCTGCCAGCCCCACCTTTTACTGTAATGCCTAGGTATTGGCCATTCAGATTTTTTGTTTTTGTTTTTGTTTTGAGATAGGTTTCTCTGTGTAGTCCTGGCTGTCCTGGAACTTGCTTTGTAGACCAGGCTGGCCTTGAACTCACAGAGATCCGCCTGCCTCTGCCTTCTGAGTGCTAGGATTAAAGGCGTGTGCCACCACCATCTAGCTCAAAAAAAAAATTTTTTTTTTCGAGACAGGGTTTCTCTGTGGTTTTGGAGCCTGTCCTGGAACTAGCTCTGTAGACCAGGCTGGTCTCGAACTCACAGAGATCCGCCTGCCTCTGCCTCCTGAGTGCTCGGATTCAAGGCGTGCGCCACCATCGCCCGGCTTCCACCCTTAATTTTTAAAAAAGACTTATTATGTATACAACATTCTGCTTCCATGTATGTCTGCATGCCAGAAGAGGGCGCCAGATCTCATTACAGAGAGTAGGAAAAGGGGCTGGAGAGATGGCTCAGCAGCAAAGAACACTGGCTGCTATTGCAGAGGATCCAGGTTCGGTTCTCAACACCCCAAAAGTTCACAACCATCTGTAATCCAGCTCTGGGGGTTCAATGCACTCTTTTAGTCCCTTGATATCTGCATTTACCCCCCCTCCGACACACACACCTTCAAAATAAATCTTCTTAAAGGGAAGCATCGGGCTGGAGAGATGGCTCAGAGGTTAAGAGCACTGTCTGCTCTTCCAGAAGTCCTGAGTTCAATTCCCAACAACAACACAGTGGCTCACAGCCATCTGTAATGAGATCTGGTGCCCTCTCCGGGTCTGCAGGCAGAACACTGTATACATAACAATTAAATCTTATGAAAACAAGGAAGCATCATTTGGATGCTTGCCATCACATTGATGAACCATGGGAGCACTAAGTTGTATGAGCATGTTTCTGTAAAAAACCCAGAACAGCAAGTTCACAGCGCCAGAAAGATAATAGTTGCCAAGTCCAGCAGGAAGGCTGGTAGCGATGGCCAAGGGGTTTGGGATTCCTTTATGGGCTGAGATAAATGTCACTGGAAACCCAACCCTGTGACTGTGCTAATAGCCACTAAGTGACAAGTGGGCTTTCTTAAAAAATATATATTACTTTTTTTTTTTTTCAAGACAGGGCTTCTCTGTGTAACAGTCCTAGCTGTCCTGGAATTCACTTTGTAGATCAGGCTGGCCTCGAACTCACAGAGATCCTCCTGCCTCTGCTTCCCGAGTGCTGGGATTACAGGAGTGTGCTACCACCACCTGACTATATATTTTATTTAGTGTGTGTGTGCACATGTGTGTGTCACAGCACACTGGGTCATCTTGCTAGCCCGATCGGTGGACTTTCAATGATCATACTGTACGGTATGTGGGGTATAGCTCAAACAAAAATGGGGTTGGGTGTCCTGAAAGGAGTATGAAGCCTGTCTTTGCCACCCCCACCCCAGTTCTTTCCCTGGAGTATGTGCTTCTCAGCCTGGCCGGAGGGTCTCCTCCTTGTCTAATCTGTCAGCTAGCTCCTGATGGACCTGGTCTTCCTTGGGGACTTCTGTTCCCTTAAAACTGTGGTTTGTAGGGATGGAGCGATGGTTCAGTGGTTAAGTGCACTGGCTGTGCTTCCAGAGGTCCTGAGTTCAAGTCCCAGCCACTCGGTGACTCATGGTAATGAGGTCTGGCGCCCTCTTCTGCCTGCAGGCATACATGCTGGCAGAACACTGTATACATAACAAACCTTGGGTGGGGGAGGAGTCTGTGGTTTGTAGAACACTAAGACCTGAGGATTCTGGGGACAAAGAAAGGTGTGTCTGGGGCCGGAGGAGATTTTTCCCAGAAGGGTCAGCCCCCTCTGGAGCAGCACAGCTCCAGAGAGGAGGGATGGTTAAGGGGTCCTTAATGGGAAAGAGGTGGGGGGAAAGTGACAAACCACAGGGGAAGAAAGGGAAACTTAGCCACAGCCACCGTTTCTCGTGCCATTTGAGAACCTGGACCGCGTAGGAGCTGGGGTACAGGGTTTGTCTCACTGTGGGAAGGTAGGTGAGATAATAGAAGGGATAGAAGGGGTTTGGAGGGGCAGGAGGAGAAAGCTGGGGTCTGTATCCCCGGGGTGTGTGAGAGGGCACCCCGGCACTTAAGCGATACAGACAATTGTCTTTGAACGGTAAATAAGGGGCCCATGCTTTCAACAGGCAGGGTAACCCTGTGAGCAGTGCCGTCTGGGGAGTTGGCAGATCTGGGATTTAATCCACTTGGAGATGAGCAAGGTAGTGCCAGGCAAACGCTGGGCCACTCTGAGCTGCTGTTTTCTCTACTACAGGAACCTCACAGGGCTGGGAAGAGAATCCTGCTGAGAACTTCCAGCAGCGAGGAGGTCATTCCATGGACAGTAGCTGGCCTGCTGAGGCTTAGAAGAGAAGGTCTCCGAGAACCTCCAGGTCACAGGCTCTCCCTGTGGGGAGGGGGTATTGACCTCTGAGAACTAGTGGGTGTGAGAAGCAGCCAAGGTGTTGCCATAGAAATGGTGCTGATGTTGCCCTAAAGGAGCTTGGGCTGGGGAGATGGTTCAGCCAGTAAACAGCTTGCTTTGTAAGAATAAGGACCTGATTTCAGCTACCAAAACCCCTATTTTGATTTGTTTGTTAAAGGGGGGGATATGAGGGAGTCAGAGAGGTGGTTCGGTGGTTAGAGCACTGTGTGTTCTTGCAGGGGACCCAGGTACAGAGAGAGAGAGAGAGAGAGAGAGAGAGAGAGAGAGAGAGAGAGAGGNAGAGAGGAGAGAGGAGAGAGGAGAGAGGAGAGAGGAGAGAGGAGAGAGGAGAGAGGAGAGAGGAAGGACTCAGTGACTGGAAGCCAGGATGGAATGGGATGGGATGTGGGAGAAGCAGAAATGTGGACATGGACACCTGGGGAAGAGGATGGAGACCACTTGGACTAGAACAATATGGCCAGAAGTGAAGTCCCAGAGGACAGGAAGTGGGAGATGCCTGTCTTCATCACCATTCTATTTCTGTGAAGAGACACCATGACCTTATGAAAAAAAAAAGCATTTAACTGGGGCTTACTTATAGTTTCAGAGGCTTAGTCCAAGAGTGTCAGGGTGGCAGGCAAGCACCAGAGCAGTAGCTGAGAGCTACATCCTGATCCCTAAGAGGGGAGAGGAAGGGAGGGGAGGGGAGGGAAGCAGAGGGGAGGGGAGAGGAGAGGAAAGAAGGGGAGGGGACAGGAGAGGAGGGGAAAGGAGAGGAGGGGAAAGGAGAGGAGGGGAGGGGAGAGGAGAGGAGGGGGGAGAGAGGAGGGGAGGGGAAAGGATAAGAGAAGAGAGGAGAGAGGAGAGGAGGAGATACTCTGGGCTTAGCTTGGACTTTTGAAACCTCAAAGCCCACCCCCAGTGGGCTTCTTCCAACAGGGCCACACCTCCTATTTTAATCTTTTCAAATAGTGCAACTCTTTGGTGACTAAGTACTCAAATATACGAGCCTATGGGGACCATTCTCATCCAAACCACCACAGACCCTAAGGAAGTTTAATAAAAGGGCACGTCCAGGGGGCAGGGCATATGGGTGCTGTGTTTGACAAGTTACCGTTGCCAATGGAAACTTGGCATCCAATGGACATATGTCTCAGCTGTTTGTAGGAACATGGGGTTTTCATTGAAGCAGCAGTGACATCAGGTCTCTCTCACACATGTGTGCTCTCTCTCTCTCTCTGTCTCTCTCTCTGTCTCTCTCTCTCTCACACTGAGGTCCAAGCTGGCCTCAAAAATCACTATGTAGCCAAGGATGACCTTGAATTCTTGATTCCCTGTCTCCACTTTCTGGAATCATAGGCCAAGGCCACCACACCCGGTTATGCGGGCTTGTGTAAGCTAGGCAAACACACCACCAATTTCACTACACTCCAGCTCCTAATGGGCAGGCTTTTAAGTGTCCACTAGGGTTTTAAAGGCTCTGAGATGTCCTGCAAGACACTCTATGCTTGGTTTCGATAAGGCCAGGCTTTCATTCCCTCTAGCTCAGGCCGGCTTGAGGACGGAGCAGGATAGAGCTGTGGGGAAAGAGCCCAAGATCTGGTGTTTGCAGCAGTCGTACGTGTATGTCCGAACCTATTCTAGACCTTGGGCGTGTTTCCTGAGCCTCTTCCTCAGGCTAACTATGGAAATTAAAGAATCCGATGAGCTCTTGCTACATAGGACTGGCTCCTACTTGAGTGCAGGCTCCTTTCTGACAGGCTGGCCCTGCTCCTCCCGAGTCCAGACCTGCTCACCTCAGGCTTCAGGTGCAGCACAGATGCAGCCATGGGGTCTCGGGCCCTGTAAGTGGGAGCTTGACTGGATCTCTCCTTGGTAACAGCAGCTCATGCCCCTGGCTTGGGAATCTTGCTGGCTCCAGAACGATGGAAAACAGAAACACCCAGATACACCCAGAGAACAAGGAGGAAGCTCCAGCGGTCCAACCAAGTCCCGGCCTGAATTCCACCAAAAAGAAGACGGATTTGGAGTGCACTGTGTCAGTCAGTCAGGTGGGTGGGCCTTCACTTCCAGTTCTGATCTCCATCCCTAGCACTGGTCTCCTCCTTTCCTTTTGTTGCTGTTTGGTTTTTCAAGACACAGTTTCTCTGTGTAGCCCTGGCTGTGCTGGAACGCTCTGTAGAGCAGGCTGGCCTCGAACACACAGATCCACCTGCCTCTGCTTCCCGAGTGCTGGTATTAAAGACCACGAAGCACCCCATCAAGCCCCCAGGCATTTCTTCATCTGGTCAAGCTGACAACAAGTCCACCCTCTGTGGACACCTGTCACCTGCCATCCAAGCATGTCCCTAACCCTTCCCACAAAGCCACCATGTTAAATATTCCAGCAAGGCATGACTCCATTAGGGGAAGCAGAGCCCTCATGATCCGGCTGCTTTCCTGAAACCAACCAGCTGTTAATCCCAGATGGGAGTCTGTGGGCCACATGTCACACTTTTAGTCTTTTAAAGGAACCCTTGGCGAACACTCTGGGCCTCCTTTACCACCTTCTACTCATTTCTCAGCAAGCAAACATGGGGTTCTGATACTGCCACCTAATTAGCTCCGTGACCTCGAGGTATCTCTGAACCCCTTTCATCATCTTGTGTGTGTTTGTCATGGTAAGAATGACCTGGACTAAGTGTGTTGAGGCCCTGTCTCGCCGTAGGCACCCACTAGAGTTGGCTTCCACCAGAATCATCTGGAAAAACAAAACAAACAAAACAAAACTTCATTCATGGGGCTGGAGAGATGGCTCTGCAGTTAAGAGCACTGACTGCTCTTCCAGAGGACCCAGGTTCGATTCCCAGCAACCACATGGCAGCTCATAGCTGTCTCGAACTCCAGTTTCTGGGGATCTGACACCCTCACATAGACACACATGCAGGCAAAACACCAATGCACATAAAGTAAAAACAAGTAGATAAAAGAGAAAGTTCATCCATTAGTCAATGAGCTACGTGAGGTTCGATGACCTCTGAGGCTAGGAGCTACGTTGGCTTACGCTCCACCCTACTGGCAACTGATGGACAAGATGGAGATTAAAAATAAAAAACCCAGGGGTGAGTGTTGTAAAATATTATTTTAAGGTGTGTTGCTTTTGTTTATGCTCTGGAATGTTTAATGATGCAAAGATGTGTTTGATTAAATAAAATTCACCTGCAGCCACGAGGCTGCATTAGCAACTAGCTGACGGGAAGTTGTAGGGAGGAGCCAGGTGGAGAATTTTTTTTTTTGTTTTTTGAGACAGGATTTTTTTTGTGTAGCCCTGACTATCCTGGAATGAGCTCTTTAGACCAGGCTGGCCTCGAACTTGCAGAGATCCACCTGCCTCTGCCTTCTAAGTGCTAGGATTAAAGGTGCGTGCCACCACCACCCAGCTGGAGGTTTATAAGGAGGGGCGAGGAGAAACATGAGAACTTCTTGGGAGACGTGAGGAGGTGGGCTGCTTGCTATTTAGCCCCTCTGGAGAGCAGAAGTCTACTTCAACCTTTGAATTGTGAGCTCTTTAGAGGGACAGAGATTTAGACAAGTTCATCTTTGAAAGAGTCGGTGCCTGAGGGAACAGAATTTCCTCAGGTTGCATCTCTTGCAGCTAAACTGCTGCTGATTGCGGCTGAGTTGCGGTGCTGACTAGGACAGTTGTATCTTAAAAGGCAGCAATAATTAAAAAAGAAAACAACAGGTGGGCCATGGTGGAACACACCTGTTGCCTTAGAATCCAGGCTGCTGCAAAAAGATGGTCAAGTTTAAAGCCAGCCTAGGCTATAAACCACAACTACTATCTCAAAAAAACTAAAAAATGCTGGGCAGTAGTGGCGCACGCTTTAATCCCAGCACTCAGGAGGCAGAGGCAGGCAGATTTCTGAGTTCAATGCCAACCTTGTCTACAGAGCAAGTTCTAGGACAGTGGAGGCTACACAAAGAAACCCTGTCTAAGAAGTCCAGCATCTGGGCCATGGGACGATGGTGCTGTGTGGGAGACATTACTCTTCAACACAACCCTTGGGCTCATATTCCAGTCGGTCTCCAGTTTTATGCCAGAGTTCACAACGCTAAGCAGCAGGACCAGGCCCACCACCTACCTCCAGGCGCCCCTGGTCTTTCTTGTCCTCTCTCTCCAGCATCTCCCCGACATAGACAGACACAGGAGGATGCACAAGGAGGAACAGGAGATGGCCCCAGCACCTCGCCCTTGAGTCAACCCACTCACGTCTCTCTTTCAGGCTGGGCTTGCAGATGCCAAGGAAAAGGATAGAGAAAAGCAGCCTGTGGCTCCCAGAGGACCAGAGGAGGAGCTCGGACACACAGGATCACCCCAGAAGGGGCCAGGGGAGCTTGAGACCCAGGAACAGCTCTCAGCAAGACCAGAGTGAGTTGCGGGGACGTCCCAGAAAAGGGGGAGACCTGAGATCTAGTGGCTGCAACACTCCATGCTTCTCCCCACCTTCCTACTTGTCCCATCTCTCCCCCACCCACCCCTGCTGAGATCAAACCCAGTTGTTAGCTTGACAAGTGTTCCCTCACTGATTGGAAGCCCTTGACCCAGTTCAGAGCACCAATCAAACTAAATTCTTTTTGTTTTTGTTTTTTTTTTACATAATTTATTTTTATTTTATGTGCGTCTGTGTTTTGTCTGCATGTATATCTGTGTAAGGGTGTCAGATCTTGGAGTTACAGATAGTTGTAAGCTGCCATGTGGGTGCTGGGAATTGAATTTGGGTCCTCTGGAAGAGCAGTCAGTGCTCTTAATCACTGAGCCACCTCTCCAAACCTCTTTTGCTTTTGTTTGTTTTGAGACAGGGTTTCTCTGTGTAGCCCCGGCTGTTCTGGGAACTCTGCAGACCAGCACCAGGACAGTCTCCAAAGCTACAGGGAAACGCTATCTCGAAAAAAAAAAAGTAAAAATTAAAGTGCACATAACAGAAATATTTCAGGCTGGAGAGATGGCTCAGGATTTAAGAGCACTGGCTGCTCTTCCAGAGGTCCTGAGTTCAATTCCCAGCAACCACATGTTGGCTCACAACCATCTGTAAAGGGATCTGGTGCCCTCTTCTGGCAGGTGTACACGCAGAGTACTCAGAAAAATATAAACAAATTAAAAGAAGAAGAAATGTTTCATTATTGCTATCTGTTAAGATAATGGAATTTTTGGTTTGGTTTTGTTTTGAGGTAGGGTTTGTATATTATGTAGCCCTTGCTGCCCTGGAACTAGCTCTTGTAGACCAGGCTGGCCTCGAACTCACAGAGATCCGCCTGCCTCTGTCTCCCGAGTGCTGGGATCAAAGGCGTGTGCCACCACTCATCTAAGATATGGAATTTTATACACTCACTCAAAAGTGTGTTTATTGCAGGGAGGAGGAACTCGTGAGGCCCCACCCCTCCTGAGGACCTTAGGCAGTCCATGGCTGCCAGGGAGGGAAAACATTCCTTCAGTGATGTGGAGGTGCCTGTGTGTCACCTGTGCTCCTGTCTGCAACCCTCATAAAAGTCATTCAGTCATCAACAAAAAACAGACCTGAAATGAAAAGGGGGACTGGGTGGGGAGAGAGGGAATGGAAGGGGAAGAGAAGGTAAGGTAATAGGGGGGAACATCATCATTTTTATATCCATGTATCAATGTCAAAACGAAACCCGTTCCAATGAATTTAAAAATATACTAATGGAAACATAAAAAGGAAAGTATGCAGATGAAGGCTTTTTAGCATGTTAATTATGCACTGTGAATATGTAGAATACGAAGTCATGTGAAGACAGCCATTTGATGAATCCCCTGACAGTGGGTTATGCATTAGAGAGAGCTTCAAGAAAAAAAACTCCAGGCAGGCGGTGGCATGCACCTGTGACCCCAGCACAGAGGTGGCTAAGGCAGGAGGACTAGGAGTTTGAGGCCAGCCTAGGCGACAGAGCAAAACCCTGTGTAAGGAAAGAAGGGAAGAAAGGAGGGAGCAAAGGGGCTTGTGAAGAACAGAAACTCAGAGTAAAGAGGCTAGGGACACAGGTTCCAATCCCAATGCTACCTTAAGCTTTATGACCCTGTGCCCAAGTCTCTCAACCCAGTTCTTTGGTGTGTGTGTGTGTTATTGAACCCAGGGTCTTGTGCATGGCAGGCAAGTTTTATACCAAAGAACTATATCCCCAGTCCAACATAAAGTCCTCTCCTTCTTCTTTCTCTCCCTCTTTCTCCATCTGCCTCCCTCTCTCTCACAACCATAGTGAGAGTGTCAACACAGGATCTCTTGCAGTTCAGGCTGGCTTCGAATTTACCATGTGGCTGGGACTGTCTTTAGATCCTGACACTCCCCTCTCCACCTCCTTATTACTGGGGTTACAGGTGTGCACTACCAGCACCCCCTTCTCTTTCTAAAAAAAAAAAAAAACACTGGAGAGATGGCTCAGTGCTTAAGACCACTGACTGTTCTAGAGGACCAGGGTTTGATTCCCAGCACCCACACAGTAACTCAAACTGTAATTTCAAGATCTAACATCCTCACAGACATACATACATGAAGGCAAAACATAAAATAAAAACAAATCTTTTTTTTAAAAAGGGCTAGAGTGTAACCACTTCAACATTCACATTAAGGTGCTGAGATTCAGGTGTGTACCCGTCCCTCACTTGTTCTCCCAGGCAATAAGTATGCACCCCTTAGATGCCTAGTCCTGGACAGGGTTCTGGGAGAGCCGCACCCAGGCTGGGATGAAGTATCTGTTGTCTGTTCTTTCCACAAGGAGCCAGTCATCTTTGGCAACCGAGGAAGGGCCGAAGAATCTACAAGCTGACCAGGAGCAAGCCCAGCCTGGCAGGGAGTGTGTGACCTCAGAAGAGCAGCCGCCACAGCCAACCATGCCAACCAAGGACCAACAGGAGGGATGGCAGAGCGCCAAGGCCAAAGAGATTCATCCCACTGAGAGCTGCCAGGTAACCCTGGGAGATGAGGAAGAGGGAATGGGCACCCGTGGAGGGGGGCAAAAGGCCCTCTCTGCCCCCAACACAGAAGGACTTGTGTTGGTGGAGGCTGCGCACTGGAGCTGGCAGACAGTCTCCCTGGGTCCCGGAATGGTTCTGGCAGTTGGAATCACAGTGTTTCCCTCAGGTCTTGTTTCCAGAGAGGCCCTCTGGGTGTCTTGGGGACAGGGCAGGGCGAGGGTTGTGTGACAGATGTTGCTGGGTTTAAGAGAATGACTGTGACATATCTCACCCCGTGTTCACTGAGCCTTTGCAAGACATGCTGGCCATTCCAAAACTTATTAACAGACTTTTTACTTCCTTATTTTTCTCATTTTTACATTCCTTTATAGAAGAAAACAATGTAACACAGCCCAATACAATACTTTTGGTTCTTCCTCCTCCCCCCCCCCCCATTTTAATGAGACAAGGTTTCTCTGTATAGCCCTGGATGTCCTGGAACTTGCTCTGTAGACCAGGCTGGCCTCACACTTACAGAGATCCGCCTGCCTCAGCTTCCCTACTGCTGGGATTAATGGCATATATTCTTGGTTTTTCTTCATATTGAAGCCTAGTCCCAAATCCCAAATCAGCATCATTTTTTTTTAAGACAGGGTCTTACCGGGTAGTGATGGCGTACGCCTTTAATCCCAGTACTCGGGAGGCAGAGGCAGGTAGATCTCTGAGTTTGAGGCTAACCTGGTCTACATAGTGAGTTCTAGCACAGCCAGGGTTACATAGACCCTTTCCCAAAGCAAGAACAAAACAAAAACAACGAAATATATATGTGTGCATATATACATATGTTACGATACAAAATACACACACAAACAAACACACATATACACATATGTATAAAATTGGGCTGGAGAGATGGCTCAGAGTTAAGAGCACTGGCTGCTCTTCCAGAGGACTGGAGTTCAGTTCCCAGAATCCCACACAGTGACTCATAACCACCTGTAACTCTAGGATCCAATGTCGTCTGGCCTCCAAGTGCACACACATACATTCACACAGACACATACACATAAATAAAACATCTTTGGGCCAGGTGGTAATGGTGCACGCCTTTAATCCTAGCAACTGGGAGTCAGAAGCAGTCAGATCTCTGATAGTTCAAGGCCAGCTTGGTCTACAGAGTGAGTTCCAGGTCAGCTAGGGTTATGCAGAGAAACCCTGTCTCGAAAACCACCCCCTCAAAAAATGTTTAGAAAAAATATACCATATAATAGAAGAAGTATGCAGAGGTCTGTCCTTCGAAACTCCCTTTAGGAAGTCAGAAGTAGCTCTTCTCAGGTCACCTTTTTAATTTCCCAGGCTCTCCCCACTCAAGGAGACACAGATCATCATCTGGAAAAGCCATGCGCCTCCGGCAGCAGGAGTCAGCCACTGGAGGATGACCCCCCCAGTAATGCAGGCCTCCCACAGGTCAAGCTGCAAAAGCCCATGCCAACACCCAGCTCGGGGACACACAAGGACAGTCCCCAGGAAGCAGTGACACCCAAACCCACGGCAACTGTGGAGGAAAAGAAGGCCCGTCCCGTCTTGTCATCAGCACCAATCCCTCGACCACACAAAGAGGGGTAAGTCATCTTTCAGGGCCACCTCTGCCCTGCTTGCTGCTCCTCTGTGGGTGACTCTTCAGCTAAGTGACACTGGAGATGGGACCAGGGAGCCAGCTCAGCGGCTCACTCTGTAAGCATGAGGACCTGAGATTAATTTCCCAGGAAGAAAGCTGGGCCCAGAGGCACATGCTTGTAATCCCAGCACTAGAGAGATGGCAACAGGTGGATCCTGGGACCATGACTGGCCAGCTAGCCTAGCCAGTTCCAGGCCAATGAGCGGTCGTGTCTCAAAACAACATGGAGTCTGAGGAGATGGTTCAGTGGGTAAGGACGCTTGCTGCTAACCTGAAGACCTAAGCTCAATCCCCAGGAAGGAGGGAACCAATTTGTGCAGGTTGTCCTCTGACCTCCACACTTGGGCTGCGGAATGCGCGCGCACACACACACACACACACACACACACACACACACCTGCATCAGTAAGATGGCCCAGCAGGTAAAAGTAAGTGCTTGCCACTAAGTATGGTGACCTGAAATTGACACCCCACAGACCTACTGAATCCCACTGTCTGTCTGTCCTCTGATTTCCACATTTGTGCTCACACAAGATGAGCAAACAAATGTACTTTTTAAAAAGCTACATATATAAACACGGTATGGTGTTTTTCATTTCTGGCTCATGAAACACCTTGGTTAAGTTGCATGCTGCCAGGCCTCAGTTTCCCCGTCTTTGGTCTGTGGGTCTGTCTGCATGCAGGTAAGGCAATGAGGGTGCACTGAGGTGAAAACAAAGGGCCGAGGCTAGGGTAGCAGGCCTGAGTGTGCTGGGGGTTCGGGGCCAGTGTAAGGTGCAAGCCCTGACTTGAAACTCTGCCCCTCACGGGGGGTGGGTTCTTCTTTGTTTAGAGGTGAAGCTGCAGAGATCAAGGCAGCACCAAGGCCTCTTCCTCCACCAGTAAGTCGAATCAGAGTGGGGATGGGAGATGGGGGAAGGGAGTTGGGGAGGGATGGAAGGAAAATGATGGACACAGAAACATTTTCAGGAAAACTGGGGTAAGTGTAAGTGTAAACCTATGCATGTGTTATGTGTGTGATCTATAGTTTATTTATTTTTAAATTACAAGTCCTAATGTCCTGTTGTGCGTGTACAAGCTCACCACGTGTCCATACCACAGGAGTGGAGGATCTCTCCCTCCATCATGTGGACCCTGGGGATCAAACTCAGGTCAGGGTTGGTGGCAAGTGCCTCTACCTGCTAAGCCATCTCAAAAAGTCAAATTATGGGTTTTTGAGATGGATCGCCTACAACCCAGGCTGCCCTAAAACCCCCTATATAGTTGAGAATGATCCCCAAACCCTAACCTCTCTGGTTTCTGCTTCCCAGGCACTGGGAGTATGAGTGTATGCTGCTGGGGACCCTAGTGTATCTGCCTGGAGTTGGCAGTCAAAACGGATCACACTCGAGAGCCCTTGAGTCCATCCCAGAACTGCTCCACATTGGCATAGAGTCCTTCTGCCCTCTGCCCTCAGTTCCAATCTGCTTCTCTGAATATCTGCTGGCTTCTAGCCAGCCCCATGCCACCAGGTCTGTCACTTTTCTTCTGGTCTCTTGAGTTGATGGTACAAGCTTAGACTTCCCACCCTACCATCATCGTCAGCCCTTACCACACCTGCCTATCTTCACACCACATCCCCAGCCACACCCCAGCCCTGAACATTCCAGGTGCAGCACAATGCACAAGGCTCGCCACTGGCTTCTTTCTGAAGTTACCACGTGCGTGATTTATTTAGCTGATGCCCAGCGACGTCACCCTCTACCTCCATTCCACCCATGTCCTTGCAGCCTCCAGCAATTGCCACTGAAGAAAATAGGATGAAAAGATCCAGCTTCAGGGTTGAAAAGATGGCTCAGTGGGTAAGAGCTCTGGCTGCTCTTCCAGAGGACCTGAGTTCGCTCCCAGCACTCACAGGGCATCTCACAACTGTCTGTAACTCCAGGACCCAACACCCTGACACGGATGTTGACATAGATGCAGGCAAAACACCAATGCACACAAAATAAAAATAAATAAATTATTGAAAAGAGAAAGAAAGAAGAATAAAAGAAAAGAAACAAAGGAAGGAAGGAAAGGAAGGAAGGAAAAAAGGAAGAAAGAAAGAAAAGATCCAGCCTCAGTCAGGCCTTTAATCCCAGCACTCAGGAGGCAGATCAAGACCAGTCTGGTCTATAGTGAGTTTCCAGGACAGTCAGGGATACACAGAGACCCTGTCTCAAAAACAAAAACGAAAGAAAGAATAAAGCCTTGAAACTCCCAGCTTAAATATCCAAGCTCAGATGGCATGAGCTCTGCTCAGACCACAGACCAGAACAGGTCTTGTGGCCCCCACTGTAGTTGTTTGATTTTTATTTTTAACTCTTAGGGGGTCCTCTACCCATCTCCCAAATAAATACATGGAGACTTATTCTTACTTATGAATGCCCAGCCTTTGCTTGGCTTGTTTCTAACTAGCTTTTTTTTTTTTTTCCGAGACAGGGTTTCTCTGTGGCTTTGGAGCCTGTAGACCAGGCTGGCCTCGAACTCACAGAGATCCGCCTGCCTCTGCCTCCCGAGTGCTGGGATTAAAGGCATGCGCCACCATCGCCCGAACCTTTAATTTTTTTTTTTTTCTGAGACAGGGTTCCTCTGTAGCTTTGGGGCCTGTCCTGGAACTACCTCTTGTAGACCAGGCTGACCTCGAACTCACAGAGATCCGACTGCCTCTACCTCCTGGGTGCTGGATTAAAGGTATGCGCCACCACCGCTGGCTACTTTTCTTTTCATATCTGTGGCTGGCCTCTGGCGTCCTCCTCTCCTCCTTTTCTCACTCCTCACTCCTCCCTGAGTCTAGATTTCTCCTCCTATTCTCTCTGCCCAACAATCCTGCCCATTTGTTTCTCCTGCCTAGCTATTGGCCGGTCAGCTCTTTATTAGACCCAATCAGCTGTTTTAGACAGGCAAAGTAGCACAGTTTTAAAGAGTTAAATAAATGCAACATTTAAAAAAAAGGCAATACATCTTTGCATCATTAAACAAACATTTCACAGCATAAAAAATGTAACACACCTTAAACTATATTCCCTAATACTAGAGTTACAGATTTAGAACCTCTAGTAGGAGCTGGGATTAAAGGTGTGCAGCACCATGGCCAGCTTTGCTTTACTTTTACAAAAGAGAGAGCTAAGGATGGGCCTCAGAGGTGCAAGACCTTGGGCTTGATCCTTAGCATCAAGAAAAGGATGCTGACAGGAATTAGTGATGGAAAAATGCCAGGATGCTGATAGGCGTAAGTGATGGAGAAAAACTGAGATGCTGAGGGGAGTAAGTGATGGAGAAAGGCTGGGATGCTGATGGGAGTAAGTGATGAAGAAAGGCTGGGCTGAAGAAGGTATGTTGACCCAGGGATGGGAGGACCAGATGTAGGTATGGTTGGCTCTATGGAATGAATGAGGAACAACAGTTGAAGTGCCCGTATATGCTGGGGACACCTGTGTGAAATAGGCATCAGGAGTGAGGCAAGGTCACTTGCCAGTTGTGTGGGCTGCAATGAAGGAACTTGGCTCACTCAGGAAAAGAGCTTGCAGGTGGGAGGTGATGACCCACATGGGTCCCGGGGTGGCACATGGAGATATGGCGTTATCTCCACCACAGTTTTGGAGAGGAAAGGACAGTCTGAGCATCCTCAGTCGTTCTGCAGGAGGTTAGCAGCTCTGTAGCCAGTCTGGCTGGCTTCTGGTATCCCAAATGTCTTCACCTGCCCTCAGGAGGAAAGAAACATTGAGAAGAAGGAGCTGGGCCAAGGGCAGAAGCAACGGCAGCAGGCTTCGGCAGCTGCAGGAACCCATGCATCTGGGAACTCCCGTCGGGGCTTCATGAAGTGCCTCCTGGAGGTGGAGGAGCAGGAAGTCACCCATCGGAGGACTTTGAAAGCTCGGACCCTGACAACCCGGAGGTCACCCAGGACCCTGACTTCTGTCTCCACCTCAGGCCCCATCAGCAATGCAGTCCCCACCTTGCCTCTGACCCTGCTAGAACCATCCACCTCAGCTCCAGCTACTGTCCCACTGTGGGTCAGACCACCAGCCCCTGGGCAAGCCCCTGCCTCTGTGGGGTCCCCTAGTTCAGTCCTGTCAGCTCCCACCCAGGACCTGAGCTGGAGATGGCCAGAGTTTTTGCCCCAGGGCAGTGAGAGAAGCCTGAACTATGCCAAGACATAGTAGGAGCCACCTCCCCATCTAGACAGGGTCCCACGCTTACAGTCTATGTCCAGCGTGGACCCTCGCATCTCCTTCTACATTCTCAGGAGTCCCCCCTCAACTCTGTCTTCTTTTTGTGCTTCCCAGCAGGGATCCCCCAAGTTCCAGGTCCCTTTTCCAAGCCCTCCTTCCCTCCTTTCTCTTCTTCCTGATGCTGGGGGTGAAAGCCACAGTTTCACACATATTAGACAACCACTCCACCCCTGTAGTACACCCCCAGCCCCCCACCACCATCTAGTCTCCCCACTCCTGCCACCACCACCATCAAATGAACCACCTATGGCTTTGCCTCATTCCCTTGGGTCTGCCTCTCCTGTCACTTGTGACTGCTGACCACCAAAGTCCCTCAGAATTTCCCTAACCTGTGTCGCCTTGGCTTCCTCTCCCCTGCCTTGGGTAGCCTTGGCAGAGGCAGGGGCAGAGGCAGGCAGGAGGTGGTTGCAAACTGTCCTGGGTCCATTGTTCTGCAGGCAGGAGCCGGAAGAGCATGGCCTCTTCAAACTGTACCAGAGCTGGGAGGAGCGGTCTGAGGAGCACCTCACCCTGAAGCAAGAGGAAGGTGAGCACCTACACCACTGCCCTGCTGGCACACTGTCTCAGCACTCCAAGCAGTGTCCCCAGTGGGGGGTCAACTGCACTTGGCCTAGGACACAGAAGAGGAGGTGGGCCACCTCCCTCACTCCAAGCCACTCTTTAGAGGCAGCTTAGAGGAGAGACAGGGTCCCCCAAGAACCTTACCCATCCTAAATAACCCCTCTCCATTTAACAAGGCTACCAGCCCTGAACAAGCCCCTACTTCCCATCACACCCTGCCCCACTAGCAAAACTGAACAGTGCTGAACTCCTACCCTGGGTGAGGTCTCTATGGTCCTTGGGGATGCCCTCTGACCCTACTTTCTCATCCTGGGCTGTCCCTAGAATGGATGTGTACTATTGTGGGATATTTGATCACACTGTAAACCCCAAGATTGTGTTAATAAAATCAACCTTGGGTCAAGAGGTGGAACCAGCATTTAGTTAACAAGAAGTAGCCATAGAGAGTAAGAGGGAGTCCAGAAAACGGACAGAGAAATGCACAGGAAGTAGGAGGGAGGGACTTTAGGTTTGGCGGTCCTTTTTGGTGTGGGACTACAAAAGAGACGCCCTCTTTCTGAGATGCTGACTAAGGAAAAAGGTTAGCTGGTTGTTCCTCAGCCTCTCTGAGCTAGCAGGTTTTCTCCCCAGCATCTGACTCCTGAGTCTTTACTGGTAAAATCTGTAAGATTGAGATTAAGTTTAAAAGCAGTGAACCCTACTGTTTCACACTCCTTCCCAAGGTCTAGAACCTTCTTGGTCAGAGCAGCTCTTTTCCTCAGATCTTCCAGAATGTTGTCATTGATCCACGGGAATAAAACCGAGGAACAGGGCTGGATACCGACATCTTCCTCATGGCATGCGCACGCATGTACCAAGCACATATTACACACACCCCACATGCCACACAAAAGCTAAAAGGAAGAAACACAGGAGTGACTCACTTGGTCACCCTGTGTCCCTTGACAGCCTTCCGCAGCTACTTTGAGATCTTCAACGGCCCTGGTGAGGTGGATGCACGGAGCCTCAAGAACATCTTGCTCCTAATTGGCTTCACCCTTACCCCAGCACAGGTGGAAGAGGCCCTGATGAGTGCTGATGTCAATGGTGAGCAAGGGGTCTTCCCTGAGTTCCAGCTAGGGGCTGCACCCACATGTGGGTTCCTTGCTAGAAGGATCCCTCCTGGCATAAACCCTCAGGGTCAGCGTCCAGTGGCCCTAACATCTGAACCCATTGGGTTTGCATTTTTCTTCCACCCCGGGGCTCACAAAGGCTCTAGCAAGCTGGCCCTGGTTCCGGAAGTTGAAGTTCCCAGAATCACTGTGCAGTGTCATCTCTGGGGATCCAGAGGTAACCAGGACCCCCCCCCCCGACCAATGGTGTAAGTGACCTCAGCTGGCTCTGTACATCAAGTGTCCTCCATGACCCTTGCATGTCTTTTACCAGCCTTATGGCTTTGGTCAAGTCACTACAGCTTGCTAGGCCTCAGCTTCTCTGTGCTATTGGGAGCAATATCCTCATCAAGTTCTCTCAGATAAAATGGGTCAGCCAGGCCGAGGGTGGGAGCCAGGCCTGCGGGTCAGGAGGCAGCAGCTGTTAGCATTACCCACGTGACGAGTATTGAATGCCTTCTGTGGCTGTTCCTGTGCAGGGCTCCGAGAATAGAGATGTGTAAGACAAGCGAGCCCTGCGGTCCTCAAGGATTCCCAGACAGTTACTGCCACAGGGCAAGCTGACACAGAAGCAAAGCAAAGCAAACAGAAACAACAGTTACAGCAGCTTGGAAGATGGGGGTCAGGAAGAAAGGCTTCCTGGAGGAGGTGCCACTCAAGCCAAGTGGTGTTAAATCAAATAGGAATCAGGCAAAAAGGAAGTAGTAGCTTCTGAGAAGTGAGCTTGAGGCACTTGTGTATGGTGCAGTGGAGTGTGGCCGGACACAGGGAAGAGAAGGGTCATGTGGGACCTGCGTCCTGACCACCGCTCACGACTGCTCCTTCCGCCACTGCAGAGTCCTCACACACATTTCAAGGGTGTGTGGCGAAGCAGCAGACTGTTGACCTAGGAAGACAGAGGTTCTGGGACTCAACCCTAGCTGACCTAGCTCTGTCGATGTGGATGGGGGGCAAGCACCTCAAGCCCTACCTGTGACCAGGGTTAAGTCCAAAGCATCCCGTCCCCGTTTTTACACCTTAGTCTATTGTCAAGAAGCTCAGAGAACATCAGTGGAGTTCCCATCAGATTGAACCCTGGGACTCAGCGTGGGACAAGTTGTGCAATTCTTGTCTCTCAGGGTCTTACGTTCCAGGTGTCACATGTGTGACAGGGATTTAGGAGACAGTCTGGCGAGGGATCCGACTCGGTCTGAACCTCTGAGAAAGGGGAGGTGACGTGGCTTAGCTGCAAACACGCCCTGAGTTTGAGCCCTAGAACTCACATGTGGGAGGAGAACACCAACTCCCAGAAGATGAGTTCTCACCGCCACACCTGGGATGTGGCAAGCATATCGCCTCCTCTCACATAAAAGAAATAAAATGGAACAATGAGGAACCATGGCAGGAAGGGGGAGACATCTGTGACCAGGGAGCAACACAAACAGAGACCTCGAATGGGAGGAATATGGGCTTCTGGGCAGTATATCTTTCCTGCCAGGGAGGCTGGCATGAGATGAGGCTGTTAACAGAGTCCGGTGGGTACTGCAGGGCCCTAAAGTCTAGCTAGAATCTGGTAGGTCATTCTCAGTAATGACAGTTGCTGGCCTTTAGTGGGCACATACTATGTGTGCAGCCCTGTTGTCTCCACTCCATAGCGAGAAAACTAAACCATCCTGGGATTCAGAAACTTGACCCAAGTCACATGAATGGGAAATGGTGGACTTGGGTTTTCGACTCATAGTGCTGTCTCAAGAATGCAAGTACAAGCCGGGCGGTGGTGGCGCACGCCTTTAATCCCAGCACTCGGGAGGCAGAGGCAGGTGGGTGGGTCTCTGTGAGTTCGAGGCCAGCCTGGTCTACAAGAGCTAGTGCCAGGACAGGCTCCAAAGCTAGAGAAACCCTGTCTCGAAAAAAAAAAAAAAAAAAGAATGCAAGTACAAGGGCTGGAGAGATGGCTCAGTGGTTAAGAGCACTGACAATTCTTCCAGAGGACCAGGGTTCAATTCCCAGCATCCACATGGCAACTCACAACTGTCTGTAATTCCAGTTCGAGGACCTGACACCCATGGCAAAATACCAATGCACATAAAATAAAAATAAACTTAAAAAAAAATACAAGATCCAGTAGTTTCTCATATTCCTTGACACAGTCTGTGTAGCCAAGGCTAGCATGGAGCTGGCTATGTAGCCAAGGATCACCCTGAAGTGTTAACCTTCCTCCCTCTACCTCCAGGTTTACATGCACACTAGGCAAACACCTGAGCTACCCACTGAGCTACAAGCCCTGTCCTGGTCCGACAGCCTCTAGCTACAAGACTGTAGCTTGAACTGGCACTGCCATTACAATTTGCCCCCTGGGTTGGGGTGGGGGGAAGACATCAGGGCCACGCCTAGCTTGCAGTACCTGGGCCTGCTGCAGAGGGTCCCTGTTCACTCTGCTGTTTCTCTGACACTGCAGGAGACGGTCATGTGGATTTCAAAGACTTCTTGGCAGTAATGACAGACACCAAGCGTTTCTTCTGCTCTGTGGGTGAGCAGGGGTCAGCCCAGAACTGGAAGCAGGACCTGGAGGCTGATGGGGTACATCAGAGGCCACCTAAGAGTAACGGCAGTCACTATTCCATGTCCCCAGAACAGAATGTCCTGATGGATATGTCGCCCCCAAACCCCTACACACTGTTCTTTGAGATCCTCTCTCTGCTGGTGGAGATGCTGGCCCTGCCGGAGGCGGCCCTAGAAGAGATCACAAAGTAAGAGGGGCCGGTTGGCTGAGGGTGGGGGACATAGACAGAAGCGGCAGCTAGTGCTTCAGCAGCTAAAGATGATTGAGGGTTAAGATGCTCAGGTGCAACCAAAAGGAAGTCCCAATTAAACAGCCTTACAGGGCTGGAGAGATGGCTCAGCGGTTAAGAGCATTGCCTGCTCTTCCAAAGGTCCTGAGTTCAATTCCCAGCAACCACATGGTGGCTCACAACCATCTGTAATAAGGGCTGGTGCCCTCTTCTGACCTTCAGGCATACACGCAGAAAGAATATTGTATATATAATAAATAAAAAAAAACTTTTAAAAAAAAACAGCCTTACACGGAAGAAGAATGCATCACTCAAATAATCGGTCAGGGCCTCAGGAATGGCTGGATCCAGGACAATGGATGATACCATTAAAGTTTTATTTCTCCACCTCTCTATCTCAGGGTGCTGACTTCAAGCTCAGCCAGGTTCTCCCAGTGGGAAGGGTGGTGATGGCAGCCCAATGCTCACAGTCCTCCTGGTTCAACAGTTTCATCAGGACCATAGTGAACCTTCCCGAAGCACTAGAACACCCTCAGAAAGGGAATCTTGCAGGAAGGGTGATGGGCAGGCAGTGGACAGTTCAGCCCCCCAGAAGGGTAGTGGGCAGGCAATGGACAGCTCACCCTCCAGGAAGGGTGGTAGGCAGGTCATGGGCAGCCCAGGGAGATATGACTACAGGCTAAGTAAACATGAGGTCTCTCAGGCTGAAAGTGATGGGTGGAGGTGGAAGGCCCAGCTGATCCCTGAACCTCGCCCTCACTTCCTGTCCTTCATGAGCATATTTTAATACTTGCTGGTCATGTGGTGGATTTATTTTTAGCCTTTTGAGAATTCTCCACATTGATTTCCATCCCATCAGCACTGGATGAGGGCTCTCCTTTCCCCACGTCCTCGCCAGCATCTGTTACCAGCTGTTTTCTTGGTCTTCATTACTCAAGGTGAAGTTCTCAAATTGCTGCTGCTGCTGCTGCTGAACACACCACGGTCTTTCATAGCCATTTGTATTTCTTTTGAGGACTACTTACATCCTTGGCCCAGTTTTTAACTGGATGGTTTGTTTTCTTGATTCAGTTCTTTTTTGTTGTTTGGCTTGGTTTTTTTCAAGACAGGGTTTCTCTATGTAGCCCTAGCTGTCCTGGAACTCACTCTGTAGACCAGGCTGGCCTCGAACTCACAGAGATCCATGTGCCTCTGCCTTCTGAGCGCTGGGATTAAAGGTATGTGAACCATCACTGCCCAGCTTTTGAGATCTTTGTATATTCTGATTATCACCCCTCGGCAGACATACAGCGGGCACAGTCTCTCCAATTCTGCATGTTTCCTTTCCCCTCATCGTTCCCTTACTTATACAGAGGAGTTAGGCAGGATTACAGCACTGGCATAAGACATCACAAGGGGGCTGGAGAGATGGCTCAGCGGTTAAGAGCACTGGCTGCTCTTCCAGAGGTCCTGAGTTCAATTCCCAGCAACCACATGGTGGCTCACAACCATCTGTACTGAGATCTGGCGCCCTCCTCTGGCGTGCGGGCATACATCGAGGCNCTGAGTTCAATTCCCAGCAACCACATGGTGGCTCACAACCATCTGTACTGAGATCTGGCGCCCTCCTCTGGCGTGCGGGCATACATCGAGGCAGAATGTTGTGTACATAATAAATAAATCTTAAAAAACAAAACAAAACAAAAATAAGACATCACAAGGGTCTCAGAAGGACACATTTTACTTTGTATAGCAGCCAATGCTGTCATAGGTGATCAGCTAACATCACTCATTTTTGAGAAAACATCTATCAGATACCAGAGGATAAATAACCATTGTTCTTCCTCCCCTTTCCTCCCACCCTCTTGAGACAGGGTCTCATGTAGCCCAGGAAGGCAATCTCTTGTCTCAGATCCCCTAGTCTCTCAGGTTACCCATCCCGTCCCCTGGAGTCCCTCCTTCCCTTTTCACTCCATCCCTAAGCTACACCTCTAGCCCAGGAATTAGTGGCTCTTTCTATGATGGAAGGTGGCCGCTTAGCTTAGCTCCCAGCGTGTTTGCATAAGTGCACTTACTTCAGAAAGGACATCCTTGCAAAACGCCTACAGGCTCTAAGAGACTGGGCCCCAGGGTACAAGGTGAGAGTTAACTTTTTCTTCCCTTTTTTTTTTTTTTTTTTTTTTTTTTTTTTTTTTTTTTTTTTTTTTTTTTTTTGGTGATAGGATCTGTGTTATCCCAGCTGGGCTGGAACCTGAGCTCCTCCAGCTTCACCCTGTGCCCATAACTCCCAAAGGCTAATTAACCTTAAATTGGCTGAGACTTGGAGATCAAGCTGGTCTACACAGTGAATTCCAGGCCAGCAGGGGCTGCAAAGTGAGACGCTGCCTCAAAAAAATAAAATAAAAACTCAAGTTTCACTAAGGGCACATGTAGCTCAGGCTTGACTCCAATTTGATACAGCTGAGGATGACCTTCAAATTCTGAAGCTCCTGTCTCTAGGGTTACTGGTCTGCACAACCATGCTTGGTTAATTTGATGCAGAGGCCAAACTCAGGGATTCATGCACGATAGCCAAGTACTTCAAGTACTCTATCAGCTGACCAACCACACCACTACACATATACAGTCAGACTTTTTTTTTGGACTGTCAGCTCTTGAATAATGACACAGAAACTTTTTATTAATTATGAAAGCTTGACCTTAGCTTAGGCTTGTTCCCAACCAGCTCTTATAATCTTATAACCTACACTAATTTGTTTATATTAATCGACATTCTGCCATGTGTTCCCCCCACATCAGATTCTTCCCAGAGCTCTTATTTCTTCCGGGAAGTACTGTCTATCCTCTACCACCTAGCTATTGGCTGTTCAGCTCTTTATTAAGCCAATCAGAAGGTGTCTCAGGCAGGTGAGCTAAAACAGATATATCTTCACACAGCATGGCATTCAACAGCCTGCAACAGAAACACCTTTTCTCACTCTAAATGCAAATGAGTTCAAGCCGTAAAGCTCAACGATTCTTACAATTTGGTGATTTCTTTGATCCAAGACTCATAACTGTTTCTGTGGCCACTATGCAAACGCCAATACAAAGATGTATTCCCAGCATTCAGGAGGCAGAGGCAGGCAAATTTCTGAGTCCGAAGCCAACCTGTCTTGGAGAGTGAGTTCCAAGACAGCTTCAGCTACACAGAGAAACTGTCTCAAAAAGACAACAAAAAAGCATATCCCTACTTTGCTTGCTCACAAATTAGTTCCTGTCGCTTTGCAAGCCCTTCCCACGGAGCTACAGTCGGTCCAGCACGTTATTTTCTTGAGCGACTCACCCTTTGGTTCTGCAAGTCTTCAAGAGAGTTGATTTTAGAACTGATTCCCTAATCCTAGCACTCAAGAGGTGGAGGCAGGAGGATCGGCAGCTCAAGGCCATCCTTGGCTACACTGAGTTAGAAGCCAACCTGGGCTACATGGGACTGTCAAGAACTACAAAGGCACAAGCCAGCTGTCTGTAGTGTGCACCAGGCCCTTTGCAGGGGCAGTGTGTGTGTGTGTGTGTGTGTGTGTGTGTGTGTAGGTACACCCAGGAGGCCAGGCAAGATGTCTGTAGCTGCAGTCACAAGCAGTTTTAAGCCACCTGACATGAGTGCTTGGGACTGAGCCTGGATCGTCTGAAGAACAGAAAGTGTTCTTAGCCACTGAGCCATCTCTCCGGTCCTGTTATAAACTCTTTCTGTCCCTCTACATTAGCACTGTTTTCCATGGACATACCTTCTTTTTTGGGGTTCATGCCAGACCAAAGTTTCTTGACAACGAATGGGAGGCAGGGTTTCTAGGACTGAGCATGGCTGCCAGCGGCAGTGCATTTAGTCTTTGCTCACCGAGTAGTCTAGCTGGTACAGAAACCAATAGGGCAAGTCAGTTAAGGAGCAGCTCTCCAGTTGGCTACAATTTATACCAGTTCGAGATATTCTTGGACTAGAAGCAGCGAGCAAGGAGACAAAGCTGCCCAGGTTCCTAGGGAAGCAGAGGGAAGAACCAGTGATAGATACCCTTTAGAGCTGACTGACCCAGCTTCAGTCTGCCTTCTCAGTCCCAGAGCCAAAGTGACCCTCTCTATTCTTCTTTCCCTGTATTGTTTTGGGGGTAGCCTTGGTTTCACAGAAGAGACAGACTCAACCTCTGACTATGGGTAACTGTGGACTTGGCTTTTTTCTTTTTAAAAGATTTATTATGTATACAGTGTTTTGTGTAAGCACGTAGGAGGCAAGAGGTCCAAGGATCACCATGAGTTTGAGGCTAGCCTGGGCTAACAGCCAGTTCCAGGACAGCCAAGGCTATAAAACCAGTCTCTAAATAGAAATAATTTATTATGTATGGTGTTTTGCCTGCATGTATCCCTGTAGGCCAGAAGAGGGCACCAGATCTCATTACAGATGGTTGTGAGCCACCGTGTGGTGGCTGGGAATTGAACTTAGGGCCTCTGAGCCATCTCCAGCCCAGAACTGGCTTTCTATCATCTCAATTCACCTTCCATGAGGAATAGGGAGGCCCCAGCAGAGCCAGCATCCAGTCCTGAGGGCCTGAAGAGCATACTCAGCCTTCATAGCATCCAGCAGCCATCAGGTTCCAGCTCCTCTGGCCTCCTTCCCACCTCCTGGCCTTTGCTTGTGCCATTCCTTGGCCATGAAGGCTGGAAGGCTCTTCCTCCAGACGGCGCTGGTTTGCTACCCGCCTCATCTGGTACTCTGCTTATCACCATGAGCAAAACAGCCCCTTGTTACTACCCCATCCCTTCCTTTCCCTCAGAGCATCCATCACTCCTCACACGGTGGTATCTTTCCCTTTGAATATGGCCTAACACGGCCATTCTGTGTCCAGGTAGCTCACTCAGAGGGAGAAGGAAGGGAAGGGGGTAGGTGGCAGAGGGAGAGGCAACACAAGGACACATCACTAAGTTGCACACCCCTGGATCTGAAGAACTGTGTGCGGCGTCTTGGGAAGAAAGGGAAATGCTTTACTATACCCTGGTCTCCAACTCCTGGCCCTTTCATTCCTTTGCACCTCTGCATTCCATGTGTCCGAAGCATCCTGAGGCAGCCCAAGGTGGACCTTTTTTTTTTTTAAAATATTATTTATTATGTATACAATATTCTGTCGGTGTGTATGTCTGCAGGCCAGAAAAGGGCACCAGACCTCATTACAGATGGTTGTGAGCGACCATGTGGTTGCTGGAAATTGAACTCAGAACCTTTGGAAGAGCAGGCAATGCTCTTAACCACTGAGCCATCTCTCCAGCCCCCCAAGGTGGACCTTTTGAGTCGTCCCTACAGAAATGAGTGCTGCAGCAAGGGCTGTAGTGAGAGGCCAGGCTAATACACGCGCAGGGTCCTTGTGTGTGACAGCCCTTTGCTCCAGGCCAGCGAAAACAGTTAACACACTATTTGCTGGGGTAGGCACTCAGTAAGGTAAAAGGCAAGTGATGAGCGGCTCATGAATGTCACGTCTCCAAATAGAAATAAAAAGCAAGCAAGCCTGGGGTGGGAGCCTGGCTAGCAGCTTAGATGAGGTGGAGCCCGCTGCGTGGCTGGGTTTGTTGTTTCAAGACAAGGACTTCAGGTATCCCAGGATGGCCTAGAACTCACCATGTAGCCAAGGATGACTGCATTGCTGAGCCTCCTACATCTACCTCCTGAGTGCTAGGATTACAGGCACCTGCCACCATGCTCGGCCTAACGGTTTACCAAGGTTTCCCGCATGCTAGGCAAGCACTCTAGCAGCTGCGCCACATCCCCAGCCCTGCTTGGCTGGTTTACAAGCAGAAATGTATCTAAGCGAAAACATAAGTAACAGAAAGTGTGTAATACATACCAATCTCTACATGGCTGGTCCCGAGACGGGTCTCATCCCATGTGCAATCCTCCAGCATACACACATCAGGCCCTCATCTTAGCAGTGCGGCGGAGAGCTGAAGCTCAGACGTGAAGTGGCATGCAGCGACAGGGCAGACAACCATTTCCTTGTATTTCATAAGGGGACTACATCTCCTGACTCCCCAGGCTTCAGTACTGCCACAACTGGCCAGCCAGAACTGGGGGGCGGGGGTCAGGAGGAAGGGGTGAACTAACCACAGCCAGGTTGAGCTACCAGGCCTTGCCTCCTCAGCTACTACCAAAAGAAGCTGAAGGAAGGCACCCCCAAGACCCGAGAGATGGAATCAACTATGGGCGGGCTGCGATCAAGGAAGAAAATTCCTTACAACTCTCAGCAGCAAGCAGACAGCTTAGAGGGCCCAGATCGAAGGGTCCTCAGGATCTTGAGCCGGCTGAAGCAGCAGAACTATGGTAAGGGCCCGTGAGCAGCCTGGGCAGGGAAGCAGATTCCCCTAGATGAAGCCCAGGAGTTAGCTGTGTGGGAACTGTGACCAAGTCGGGCTAGTCTATACCACCCAACATCCAGCTCCATGCTTTGAACTCGACCTTCCCACTGAGCTGAGGCTGTCCCCAAGAACTACTGTGTGAGAGCCCGCCAGGGTCAATTCTACTGTGCGGCCCTTTGCAGGTGTGTCCTATAATCTCCACACTGACAGAAATGGGAACTAAGGAAACTTCAGTGACTTCCCCAGCTAGTGTGCCGGCAAGGGCAGTTTGCACTTAGGCTCACCCCCAAATTGTGTGCCTGACTATTCTCCTGGGCAAGCTTCTTTACGCTATGGCCAGCCTTGACTCTATGCTTAGCCCTCAGCATCGTACACATCCCTGTCATCTACTGTGCGGTGGATACCAATACCCTCTCCGTCTTCAGAGGCTCAGACATTAAGGGTTCGCCTAAATTCACTCTATTATGTGGCAAACCAAGGGTTTCACCAGGCTGGCCATGTTCCCAATTCTCGTTTCCCTCCTATTCCAGCTGCCAATATGCAGAGCCCCTATGCCCAGGTGCCCTGCATCCCACTCTGCCCACGGCTGGAGAAGAAGGCAGTCCGTCGAAAACAGGGTAGCCATAACCATTCGGTGCTGGATCAGTGTGTCTCTACAAGCCTGGGCCCTGACCTCCATGGCCTCTTCTTCCAGTCAGGACAGCAAGGAAGCAGGTGGGTACTGAGGGCCAGGGCCTCTTTCTAAGAGACTATGTTGGGAAACCCTTTACTCCAGGGAGGATGGATGGACAGACAGGGCAGGAAAGGCAGCATCCTTTGCTGAAAGCCTGTGTCCTGAGCATTAAGCAGCTGTGACCCTAGTGTCCTCAGGATGGTGGTGTTCCCTGTTTCTCAAGCATGGGAACTCCTTGGTTGAATTACGGGAAGCTTAGAAAACTGGGAAGGAGATGTTCCCTTCAGAGTTCCTAGGGCTTGGGGTCAGCCCCTCAGGTTCCACTCCCTCCAGAAGCGGCCTCTCCCTGAGTACATGGGATGACTCATGAACCTGGCAGGACTAGGGGAAGAGGGCCAAATATGCCCTCTCTTTCTGCCCACCTCTCCTCCCCAGGGAACACAGCTCTGACAGCAGAAAGTGGCTTAGCTCTGTGCCAGCCCGAACCCACTGATCGTCTGGAATCCTGGCTCCAGAAGTTCAAGACCTATAGACAGCTGGGCTGTGGGGCAGGGCATGGTTTTGGGAGTTTGCTTTCATGGCCTGGTAAGCCAATAAACACCAAGAACCTCAGCCTCCGGACTTGATGTTGGTCTCAGCCCCAGTTCTCACCACCCTACTTGACTTACAAAGCTCCAGCATGCCCCTCCGCCCCCAGGTCAGAATCTAGGCAGGACTCATTGAAACTCTGTCTGGGGGAGGGGGAGCTTCCTACTGCAGTGCCCATCTCCCCACTCAAGAGTTGGGAGTCCTACAGTGATGGACTTAAGCCAAGTACACCAGAAAGCCTCAGCCTTAGGAAGCAGCCGACCTCTGCAAGAACAGGAACCCCCCCAGGGCTGGACAAGCAACCACAGTTCGAGATAGGAAGCCAGAAAAGAGGACAAATGCCTGACAAGTTTAAAACATGTATTTAAAATACAATTTATAAAATGCTTAATCTGCCGACTCAGGAGCCCGCGGTGGGGGTTAGGGTGGGGAGCTGCCTGCTACACCAGCAGAGCGAGACTGCAGGGTGCGGCCCTCCCTCCCAGTCCCTTCTGTACAGATGCCCAAGGGTCCCCCCTGGGGTCATATGACCAGAAGCAGGACCCCAGAGGTTTTCTTGAGTCTCTGCTCACCAGGGAGACTGGATTCAGCCCTGCCGGCCCATCCCTGAGCAGAGCACCCCAAGATGGGGCAGAGCAGGGTATGGCAGGGCAGGACAGGGCTGGGCGGGACAGGTGGGCTCTGGAAGGGGCTGATGGCAGCAGATAGGGTGTTGCCTCCTGCCTGCAGGTGGGGAGCACCCTGATTGAGGGGACTGAGAAGGGCTGGTCACCAGACCTGGACCCCCAGCTCCTTTGGTTATAGGCTGACATCAGAGTAGTGGCTCATGGGAAGCGGTTAGCTGGAAGGGCTGAGGCCTGGCTCATTGGGTCCAGGAAGAGCTGGGGGAAGGGACAGTACCATGAAGGCAAACAAAGGGGCAGCAGCCTCAGGTTCCTGCCCCTCATCCCCCTGGGGATTTCCAAGCCAAAGCCTGCAACTTACTTAGAGACAGAAAGGAAGAAAAAAAGAAAAAGAAAAGCACTTATGGAGTTATAGACAACTACAAAAAATGAAAAAAAAAATGAAAAATGAAAAAAAAAACAAACCAAAACTAATAAATCACACACACAGTGAAAAAAATAAACCCACAAACACACACACATACACACACAATCCAAACGGTTTCCCATGCCCTCCCACCTCCCCCAACACATCTGTTTTCCTTTCTTCCTTTCTTTCCTTCTTTCTCTCGTTGTGCCAGCCACCTCTCCATCTAGGAGGTCAAATGCAAGACTGCTGGTGGGCAGGCACAAGTACACTATGGGCAGGGCCTTCTTTGGCCAGAGTGAGATGGGAGAGCCACTCCCACAAGCTCTCAATACGCAGACACCAGCTGCCCTTAGCTCCTACTAGAGGGGGTGGGGCAAGCAGGGTTTCAGCACCCTTCTCCAAAGGACAGTCTGTCTTCCAACCAGAAACCACTAGCCCCTGTGGGTGGGCCCTAGCCTATGAGCTAGCAGCCAACTCCCTACTTGCATTTAAGGGGGTGGCCAGCCCTCCTCCTGAGGCTCTGCTCCAGCTGGCTTGCAGAAGGCCCCTGGTTTCAGGCAGGTCTATGGCCATGCTACGGAAGAGACTCTTCCCAAGGGGAGGATGTTGTGGGCGTAAGGGGCATAAGCCAGGGGACCCAAAGGTGGTAGGATCCTGCAAAACTCAGCTCATCACTTTAACCACCACAGCTGCCCTAATCCCACCCCACGCCACCCACTCCCAAACCTGTGTGCTGGCCAGGAGAGGGGAGGCTGGCTGAGGGATAAGGCGAAGGGCACAGGAAAGACTGCGAAGCCTGAGAGCACCCAGTGGACACAGCTGCCCTCTCAAGCCTCTCCCTATCAGGAACCAAAGCAAATCTCCAGGCTTGGGGACAGAAATGGCCTTCATACCAGCCTCATTCTGCTAAGGGAAAGGGCAGTCGAGGCCTCTGAGAGGCCTGTCAACCATCTATCTGCCTCTGCAATGCAAGTTCTCTTTCCCCAACCCTTCTCCAACTGTTCTACTCCTGTGGTACTCGTTTCACTGGGGAAACGTACCAGTTTCCGAGCCAGGGCCATCACAGATGTGGCACGCCACATATCCTTAAGCTCTCCAGTCTTGCTGGAAGGGACGGCCTGGAGTTCTGAGTCAGGCTCCCCTGGGCTTGTGTTGACAGCAAGCACTGGACAAGTGCCACCACTGCCTGATTCTGAGCCCAGAGTGTGTCTCCTCCCCAACACTCCCTGTCCTGTCTGCCTCTAGACACAGCAAGCCTGGCTGGTAGGGAGCCACCCTGAGGGGTATGGGAAGGGGAAGTCTGTCACTTTCCCCATCTCCCACAATACTAGAGGTGGGGCTGGCGCCTCCCCCAGGCTCTCTGAGCTGTCTCTAGGTAACTTAGTTGGGACTTAGGAAGGCAATATAGGCACAGTGCTCATCTACTGGGGGCTCCAGAGCCCCGCCTTTTCTGGGCAGCAGTAGGAATACAGAAGCTAAGCTCACCAAAATCCTATTGGTTAATGTTTCTAGCAAATTTCCTAGAAACATCCTCAAGTGACTACCAAACTACCCTTCTCAATTAAAAATTCATTAAACTGCTAAAACCCCTTCCATGCACTTTTTCTTGCAAATCAGATATCCGTATAAACAAACAAAAATAGGAAGAAAAAAAAAGGAAAGGATATTTTCAATGGAACTTCCTTTTAAGTGATGGCGACATGCACTTGGGGTGGGTGGGGGAGTTTTCATTTGTCTTTTGAAATCCCAAATTAATGAGCATGATAAACTGTTATTGCTGGCACTGGCTTTACCCCAAGTGGCCAAGTGGCACTGTCTGACCCTCTACTCTGAGTCCTTGGTAGGTTCCCCCAATCCTCCCCTAGTCCCCACCCTTTCCCTTTCTATTGACTTAGGACAGCCCTTGTCAACACGCCAATCACAGTGGGAAGGGGGGGAGGCAGAGGTCACAGTGCATGGGGTTCAAGGTCACAGTGGGCGGAGCAAGGGGGATCACAGTGCAAGTAAGTCAGGTCGTTCCCTCTGCTCAAGTCCAGATGTCTGCCACGGCAGTGCGACCCATGGCAGACAATCCAGGAGGCGATGGTGGCAGCAGCGGCATCCTTTCTTGCCTGCATTTATCTGCGCTGTTTGAAGCCTTGTGACCCATCAGGACCCAAAGGCTGTCTGATCACATTACTGGGCTGCCTGCTGTCTTCGGGTTGGGAGATCCTGGTTGGCCTAAAAGAGGATAAGAGGAAGAAGGCCTTGAGGATATAAAAAAATGCTCAAATAATTGTTTTGTGTGTGTTGTTTGTTGAGTGTGGGGACATGTATGCACAAGTGTTTATGTCTGGCCAAATATTGTCAAGTGTCCTCCTCCCCTGCTCTCTATCTTATTCTTCAAGTCACTGAACCTGGAACTCACTGACTAGGTTGGCTGGTCAATGAGCTCCAGGGATCCTTTTAACCCCTTCACACCCTTCTGCCCCACCCACTTGTAGCTTTGCTTGGCTTTTATGTGGGTGCTGGGGATTCAGGCTGGGGTCCTCATGCTTGTCTTACAGCACTAATGCCAACTGAGCCCCCTCCCAGCCTGAAGTCCCTGAACCTTAAAAAAAAAAAATCAACCCATGACAGAGGTTGGGGTTAGCAGCCAACTGGAGATGCCAAGGCTGCTACTTTGGCAAGCAGACTAGGGACATTTTCCACTTTGGCAGCTCCTGTGGGAAGGAGGTAATGGTCCATGGTCTGTGTTAACTCCTAGCAGTTACAGCACTGCCCCCTTCTCATTTGTGAGCTGAGGGAGTGTGTGCACCCGATCCCATGGAGGGAGGAGTGGCTACGGCAGCACATCTCCCACAGAGCTAACAGACTGCTCCAGCGTTGGGCCCCTAACTGTGCACTCAGGAGTGAACTGGCACCCACCTGTCTGCCTCCTGCTTCCCTCCAAACCACGAGGCTAGCTGCTGACTCCTAGTACTAGAGAAGACAGAAGGAAATGGACTTTTCCCACTCCAGACAGGTGCAGACTAAGAGGAGAAAACAGAACGGAGGTTCCTTCAAGACAAACAGCACTGGACATGGTGACACACGCCTGTAACAGTGCTAGGGAGGCCGAAGGACCACCCAGAGTGCAATGCTGGCTGGGCTACACTGAATTCTATGCTAGCATGTGTGAGAACCTGGTTTCAAAAAGCCAAAAAGCAACCAAAACATCACCAAGCAGGGATAGACAAGGAACTCAATCAACTGTCCAAGCCCAGAATAGCAAGCCAAAGACAGCCTCAGGGAAGAGGACTAGGGCCAGGCTCGGAGGCAGGCTGCCTGCCTAACCAGCTTTGAGGCCAACCATGCAGTCCCCAACACTGGGGAAAAAAGAAAGAACAGTCTGGTGTGGTGTGTTTGTACCCCTACCTCTGGAGAGGTTGAGACAGGACGACTGTCAGGTCAGCCTAGGCTACAGGGAAAAACTGTCTCAAAAGAGACATACAAAAAGTATGGGCTGGACCTGTGTCTTAGCAGAGTGCTTGCCTAGCATGTATGCAGGCCTAGGTTTGATTCCAGTTCTATGTAAACCAGGTGAGGTGTTACATTCCTGGAATCCCAGCAGTATGGAGGTAGAGAAAGAAGGACCAGCATTCAAGGTTATCCTTTATACAGTAGCAAGTCTGAGGCTAGCCTGAGCTACAGGAGACCCTTTCTCAAAAACAGGCTTTTGTGTGTCCCCGTGTGCACTTCAGTGACAGCTGGTATTTTCCTCAACCTTCAATTTCCTTTTTAAAAACAATTTTGAACCGTGTGCATGTACACGGGTGTCCACGTGCACACCAAAGCCTGAGTACGGAGGCCAGAGAACACCCGGCAGGTGGTGGAAAGGTTCCAGAAACTGGACTCAGGCAGCCAGGCTTGGCACCCTGTGCCCTTACCTGCTGAGCCACCTCAGCAGCCTGTGCCCAGCTTTCATGTAGGTACTGGGGATCCAAACTAAGGTTCCCAATGCTTGTGTGGCAAGCACTCTAAGACTGACTAAGCCATGTGTCTTCAGCCTCCTAAGGCAGGTTTTTTTGATTGTCTCTTTTTTTGAGACAGAGTTTCTCTCTAGCTTTGGATGATCTGGAACTCACTCTGTAGACCAGCTTGGCCTCAAACTCATAAAGATCCTCCAGCCTCTGCCTCTCCAGTGCTGGGATTAAGCACTACCACCATCCAGTTCCAAAGGCATATTTAACAAATGTTATGTTATCAGAAAGAAACACACATAATACAAATCTAAAATAATAATAAAAAGACATAAGTGAAATATTAAAATTTTAGCAAAAACTCACACGGGTCTGCTGGGGACCCAGCACCTAAACACTGGACTTTTCTGGGGTCCTGGGCAGAACTTGGCACCTTAATGGCCATCTGCTCACTGGTAAGTATGTACCCAATGGCTGGCTGGCAAGACAGGTACGACCATTACCCTACTTCTCAGACCAGACATCAGATGAAGTAGCTGTAAAGAGTGCGGCTGACAAAGCCCAAGTCAAAGCCCATCCTCTGTTCCCTGTGCAGCCTGCTTCCTGGCGCCTGTAGCTGTGGAGGGGGCCCATCAGCCAACCACTTAACACCCTACAGTACCCCTAGGCTGAAGAAAGCTTCGCTAATACAGTACTTGCCTCTCAAGCTGAGGACCTCAGTTGGATTCCCAGAACCGACATAAAGGTACCTTGCAGGTTGGTGTGGGGTACACTCTGCCTGTTCCTCCCATTGTCCTGCCACTGCTGGCAGCCACACTCACCTGTCAAGGATGGGTTTCTCCTGCTCCTCCTCAGGGCTGGCACTGCCCAAGATCCGTCTCCTGGCCTCTGCGTACTCTGCCTCCCGCTGCGCTAGGGACTTGACAGGAAGGGCTGGCCTGCTGGTGGAGTTGGGGCTGCTGAGCACACCGTTGCTGGTGGGCCTCTTGAGGATGCGGATCTGTGGAGGGGGCCCCGTGGGAAGGCTATCGTCTTGAATCACAATGGGCACTTTGGGAGGAGATTTGGATTTCCTGCTGACAAAGAGCAAACACAACTTCACAAACCCCACAAGGACCAGAAGGCCCATCCAAGCCCACACCCTCCTCACCACTGTCCTCCTCCTAACTAGTCACGGCCCAGGACCACGACTGCACTCCCACTCCTCAAGCGTCACCTTGCCACTAGCTCTGCAGGGCACAGAACCTGCTCCACAGATCTAACTCTGCAGGGGCCAGTTCACCACCTTGTGTCCTAGGACTTCCTCTCCATGCGCACAACAGGCCCAGCAAGCACCATTTGGCCCTTGACACCAAACATTCCATACCCAAAATTCAACGACTTTGATGAAAATCCCAGCTTCCCTACACAGACCAGAGAATGAGAGGCTAGTGAGCTGGGAGCCCCTCCGTCCAGGTCTCCTACAGCGTGTGCTCAAAATAAGACAATAGATAGGCACCTGCTATGCCACCCTATCTGGCAACAAGCAAAACATTTATCAAACTTTCTCTGCCTTCTGGCCAGTGACCTGTGCCTCTCAGAGACAGGCTGCACCAGACAAGCAAGTCACCTCCGCACAAGAGCCTTTGAGCAGAGACATCTCCCTTACTAGGGCTCTCTGTTCTGGTGGGCAGCGGCAGGGCTAGGACGAAGGCCGGTCCTAGAAACAGTGCTTGGCAATGCTCAAAAGAAAAGCATTGTCCAAGGTTAGTGGATGTGCACATCAATGCCAGGTGGCCACAAGCAGAGGTGAAATTCCCCAAACACAAAGAGGCCAACAACACAGGGAGGGAGGAAACAGATGCCACAGATGAGAACTGGAGCAAGGCAAGATTAACACACCAGCCACCAGGCCACCCCAGACCTGTCACAACCACTGAGACCTTCGCCAGAGCCTGGGTTGTCAGGAAGGGTAGAAGCTACGTGCTCTGAGTGGAGTGGAAAGGTCCTGGAGGGGTGGGAGCAGCATGGAACAATGACCATAGGAAGCAGCTCCTGGAAAAGGAAAGGAGCCAGCAGTCTCATCACAGCAGCAGGGAGTCTGGAAAGCCAGTGTGGGGCAGGGGCCTCCCAGAATCCCCTGGGGGAATGACGTAGCTGGTTCTACTCTGTTGCTTGTCCCTGTTACCTAAGCCCAGTACCCACTCTGAAACCCATTTTCCATGCTGCACGGATGGATGTGAGAGAGCAATTATTAAAGGTCTCGCAAGAATTTCCAAGAATCTTCCCTTCTAAGACACCTCATAACAGCCTAAACTGCACGCCAAAGGCCACAGAGAAGCCGTCTGTCCAAACTCTTCATTACAGAAGATACCGATGTCCAGAGGGAAAAACAACTCACCCCACCTCAGAGTCACGGGGCAGTCACAGCTAAACCCAAACCTTGCAACTTGTTACCTTGCCGCTGTCAATGAGATGACCTCACACAGAGCCCACCTAGCCTCATCCCAAAGCCTCAATCCAGGGTCCTGGTCTTCTACTGGGATTGAAGAGCTAGTGCCCAGGAGCCTAACCTTCTAAAGTTATCAGCCTGCTGGGGAACACTGCCTGCCCAGCTCTCCAGTGGCAGAGAGCATGAGCCCTCATGCCAGACATCAGCCTTACCTCTCCTTTTGTGTGATCTTCAGTTTTTTTTCCAACCGTCTGTCTATTTCCTAGAGGAAAAAAATGTATATAAAAGTGGAAAAAAATCTCTCTCAAATAAAAACCTTAAGTCTCTATTTTTCCAAGCTAAGGGCAACGTCCTCTCTCTAGCCAGGGACATGGCTGTGTCCTCCTACTAGACCTGAGGTTTGGGGACCAGGTTCCCTCTGCAGATCCATCTCCCCTTAGCCCCATGACCACACAACAGTTCTGGATCTCACCATTAGGCTGGGTTCTCTGCATAGCCTCCAGCCCCTCTCCTGGACTGTCCTTCAGAGTCACTCCACACCTACCTAGCCAAGTCTTGTCCCCACTCAACTGCTCAAGGACCATATCTGAATTCTGCCTCTCCCCTACCTCTAATCTCCTGTTCCTCTTTTGCACTAGAACAGGACTGAGCTATCAGTCCTCAGAACCCAATGAGCTGCCCCACTTGCCTGCAGCATCCTCAGCCCCTGTACGCCCCATTCAGCCTGCACAACCCAGGCGCCTCCTCTCCCTTGCAGTCTTCTGATCCCCCTGGTGCACTGAGCACCTACTCCTGGGGTTGACTTTCCCTTTTACAGCCCTTCACAGCCACAGTGTCAACCAGCTCAAAATCTAGTTTGTACTGACACAAGCAATCTGTGGCCAGCACTGAGGGAAAGGGGATAGGAGATAATCCTGCTGTTTGTCCCCAAAGTGGACCCAGGGAATCTGAGGGGGAATCAGAGGGAGACTTCTCACTGAACCTAATTACCACAAAGCCAGCACTGCAGACAAAGGATGAGCAGAGACCATTACCCCACACATTTAGGGCCTCAGCCCGGGGGGGGGGGGGGCTCTGTACTGAGCAGCAGGGATTCCAGGTGCCTGCATGTGATGTGGAGGCAGGCTCTGTGTCTCACTCTGTGAGGACCAGTTCCTGGAGGAAGGAGCTATGTGCTCAGCAGTATTTGCTGGAGAGGGCTCTCAGCCACAGGTGATTCTGCCTAAGAGACATCTGGCAAGGTCAAGACATTTTTGGTTGTGACTATGGCAGGTGGGTGAGGTGGGGGCTGCTACTGGGTAGAGACTGTGGTACTGCTAAGTGTCCTGCAATACTGGGCAGCCTCCAGATGAGGAACAGCTTCCAGTCAATGGTGCCCAGGCTGACCCTGTTGCTAAGACACCAGTGTCTTGGCACTCACCCACAAACCCAGCACTAAGGAAGTAGAGGCTGAGGGTGTGGGGGCAGGGGATAAGGAGTGATGTGGGAGTGTCATATATCAATCTGTTGATTTCATTGGTTAAGTAATAAACACACTGCTTGGCCTCATAGGTTAAAGCATTGGTGGGAGGAATAAACAGAATAGAATTCTGGGCGGAGGAGGAAGTGAGGTCAGACTCTGCTCTGCTCCCGGACAGCATGGACGGAGTCCCGGAGAGACTCTGCTCTCAGGAGCACAGACACCATGCTTCACTCTCCCAGGATGGACGGAGGCTAGAATCTTCCCAGTAAGCGCACCTTGGGGTGCTTACACGCATTATTAGAAATGGGCTAGTCCAGGTGCGAGAATTAGCCTGTAAGGGCTAGAGTTCATGGGCCAAGCAGTTCTTAAATGAATACAGTTTGTGTGTTGTTATTTCGGGCGTGAGCTAGCCAAGCAGCCGGGGTGTTGGGGACGCAGCCCTGCCTCTCTTATTTCAACAAAGGAGTTCAAAGGCCACATTCCAAACCACAGCTACAGTGACAATTCCTCAGGAGGGGACCTGCTGTGTTCTACAAGGAAGGAGGCAGTTCAAGCTGGCCAGCTCTATCAGTGATTTACCTAACTATTGTCTATGAGGAGAATCATTATTTAGCAATCTGAACAGCTGTTAGTCTTGAAGTGACTCTGGTGCTCAATCCACTGGTTGAATCCTACAATCAAGCCAACTTTCTTTAATGGTGTTTTCTAAAAGGTTCTTTTCATCTTTCCTAATTTGTATCTCTTACAAACAATACAAAATTCTACTGTCAGAAGCTAGATTCAAGTACAAACACTATCACTCGTTTTTGGCAACACAATATACTGTGCTTGGGAGGCACCGTCAAGTCTCTGGGGCACCTGGAAAGGCCAGAGTACAGCTGAAATACAGTCAATGCACAGAAGACACAGAATGCTCTTGACAGATACCCAGATTCTCTACCAAGCACAGCTCCTGCTAGAAAGGTATTATTCTAGGAATTTACTCTAATGCAGTGCCATTTCAAGAGCAAATGCAATGTCTTACACAGCAACCTCTTTATTTGTGAGCGTGCAGGTGTGTCTGAGTGGATGTGTGGATCCAGAGTCCAGAAGGTGTCAGGTTCCTTGTAAGGAGAGTTACAGATGTTTATGAGCTGCCTAACTGGAGTGCTGGGATTTGAACTCTGAGTCATCTCTCCAGTCCTAAGCCCTCTATTAAGTTCCCCACTGCTGATTCCAGTTTCTCCAACTAATGTAGTTTTCGCATCTGTGAAATTCAAACACTTTCAAACAGAATTTAAACCCAGCACCTGCTCCAGTCAAGGAAGGAGCTAAGTTTTATATATAAAGGGACATACCTGGGGCAAAAGGCTTCTAAATCATTGGCTCTGGGGCTGGAGAGAGAGTTCAGAGGTTAAGAGCACTGGCTGTCCTTCCAGAGGTCATGAGTTCAATTCCCAGCAACCACATAGTGGCTCACAACCATCTATAATGAGATATGGTGCCCTCTTCTGGTGGGATCCATTCAGGCAGAACACTGTATTCACAGTAAATAAATCTTAAAAAACAAATATAACATTGGCCCCAGCTAAAGATAGGGACAGGCCACTGCCAAGGTTTGGCTGACAAGACAGGGTGTGTTTTGTGCTATTTTCAGAAGTTTCCAAGTCATGATTTTTACAGGGGAAATGATTCATTGATTCATTGTGTGGATTCTCACTTTCCTATGCCCACAAAGGTCAGAGGACAGACAGAGGAGAGCTGCCCTGATCCAGAGTCTGTGCTTCCTTCTCTAGGGCTACTGGAATAACCATCTTCCCAGGACCTGCACATGGTGCAGGGCAGAAAGAAGCCCTTCATGAAGACCCACCTGAGTAAATACGCCTCTGTCCCCAGCCAGTCACACCCAGCAAATAAATGTGGCACGCTGTTTTACTGTTTGTTGAAAGTAACACCCGACACTGAGATGAACTACTGGGAAAGTTCCTGTCACCTTCCCAAGCCACACCACTGGCACCGCAAAAACTACGACTGCCATGCCAGCCATCCTGCAGGCAGGGTCGCTTTACAAAAGCGGAGGAAGGCCTCCCATCAGACACAGAATGAGACCCGGTGGAGCGGAGCTGGCCACTGGCAGAGTGCTCAGTGAGCAGAGGGAGACCTCTCTGCCAGCACCAGGTAAACAGCTCTGGGCATTTGCTCCCAGGCTTGTTCTGAGAAACTGAGCTCAGTTACACCCTCTCACAGGACAGACTTTTCTATTTTCAGGAACCACACAGGCCTACACTGCTGTGTCATACAGGGAAGCATCAGCTTGGAGATTCCAGTCTCAAATAAGGATCAGATTACCATTATTATTTTTATTTTTTTACAAAGATGCCCAGAGTCTTGATGGTGTTACCGAATCCCATGGCTAGGACAATAAACACTGAAGCCATGACTTCGTTCTGAGTGGACACGGGGCAAAGGGGGACATAAATACTCCATGGGCAGCTGAGTATTCTCTGGGTGTAATGTGCCTCTCCTAAGTGGGTCCAACTCCATGTAAAAAAGATCAGCTTCTAAACCTGACCCAGCTCCACTGGGCTATACCATGTGAACACTGAACATGGTAGATGATACCATGCCTGTGATCCCAGAGCAAGGAGACTAAGGCAGGGTGGAATTCTGGCTCTTCCTTAGGGGTCCCGACTTCACTTACAGATAAAGCAAAAGACTCCATAAGGCAGAATGAATCCAGAAGGACTCCAGCCTACACAGAGCAACCTGGTCTCAAAAGAAAAACAAAAATGACAATAACACAGGTAGGCTATTCTTGGTCTGAAGAATCCCAAAGCCCAAAGCCAGAAAAAGAGGAACCATGGGAGGAAGGGTGGTGTTTTGGCAGGTAAAGGAGTGTCTACACCCCCAGGTGAATGAACGCAGACACCAGCAGTTCCTAGTGAACCCACGGGAAGTAAAGTTCAGCTTTACTGCTGTTGATGCCCTTCCCCTCAGTGTGTGGACTGTAGAGCCTCCGGCAGGAAGCTGTGGTGGAAAGCAGGGGTATGATGGGGAAGAGCTCATTCTGGAGGAGGGGAAGAGCAAGGAAGGGCCTCAAATAGACTACTTTCTTACTGGAAAAAAACTTTTACATGTTTTGCCTGCATGTATCTATGTATACTGCATGCAGAAGCCAGAAGAGAGGCTGAAGAAACGATGATTCTGCTGTTAGAACACTGATTGTTCTTCCTGAGTGCCCAGGTTCGAATCCCAGCACCCATACAACAGGTCTCAACTGTCTGTATCTACAGTCCCAGGAAATCTAACGTTTTCTTCTGGTCTTGCACACATTTGTACAAACACATACACAGACAGAATACCTATACACACACACACACACACACACACACACACACACACACACACACACACATAATAAGCTTGGCACACACTTTTAGTTCCAGGAACCCAAGGCTATTTATACAGTAAGACTCTGTCTCAATAAATAGATTTTTGAAGTTTAACACCGACGGTGTGAATGTACTTGTCATGGTGCATGTCTGAAAGGCAGAGGCTATCTTTCAGGAGCTGGTTCTCTCCTTCTACCATGTGGGTCAGGCATCGCAGCAGTGAGCCTTTACCCGCTGAACTGCTTCCCCAGTCCCAGCCTACTTTTACAAAACTGTTATAACCTGTGTGGGAACAGGGAAGACAAAAAGGGCAGGGGTATGTGTGAAAGGCAAGGCCAATTACACAGAAGGTTTGTTCCTATGACATTCAGAGGTGGATAGAGCCAGGGATGGTGGCTTATGCCTGAGACACTAGCACTTGAAAGGCTGAGGCTGGAGGTTCACCATAAGTTAGATATCAGTCTAGATCACATAGTGAGCTCCAAGTCAACCTGGGCCACAGAGTGAGGCACTAAATCAGAAAATAAAAAATAAAACAAAAACAATAAGCTGGAGAGATGGCTCAATGGGTAAATTGAGGACCTGAGTTCTGATCCCTAGCACCCAAGTAAAAGCTGGGCACACCATACAAGCCTATACCCCAGTCCTGTGGGTGGAGGTGATCAGGTCCTAGGAGCTTGATGGCGCTTGCTAGTTAGCAAGCCTAGCTGAAATGATGAGCTAAGATTAATGAGTGACCCCGTCACACACGCGCACACACACAAATGTATGAATGAGGGGGAGATTGATAAAGCCAACCTCTAGCCTCCAATCCCCACCCCACCCCAAGACAGGGTCTCTCTGTGTTGCCTTGGCTGTCCTTGAACTCAGAGATCCGCCTGCCTCTGCCTCCTGAGTGCTGGGATTAAATGTGTGCGCCATCACTTCCCAGATTGACCTACAAATTTGCACGCACAGGTAAGTCACCAGACTTACACCACACACACACACAAAGATGTTGGCCAGACATGATGGCACGCATATACCTGTAATTCCAGCACTTGGGAGAATGAGAAAGTATTGCCACAAGTTTCCAGCCAGTCTGGGCTCCATGGCAAGACTGCATCACAAAAAATGAACAGCAGGCTGGAGAGACTGCTTGCTTGGTAGTTAAAAGTGCTTGCTGCTCTTGCGGAGATCTGAGCTCTAGCACCCATACCAGGTGGCTCACTGTCTGTAACTCTAGCTCCAGGGGATCTGAAGCTCTCTTTTGGCCTTGGTTGGCCCCTGCTTGCATGTGTACATACTCGGACACAATATATGCATACAAATAATAAAATAAATCTTTCAAAAATGGGGCTGGAGCTGGGTGGTGGTAGCACGTGCCTTCAATCTCAGCACTTGGGAGGCAGAGGCAGGAGGATCTCTGTGAGTTCAAGGCCAGCCTGGTCTACAGAGCAAGTTCCAGGACAGCGAGAGCTATACAGAAGAAACCCTGTCATGTAAAGAAGAAAAAAAAAATGGGGCTGGAGAGATAGCTCAGAGGTTAAGAGCACTGACTGCTCTTCCTGAGGTCATAGATTCAATTCCCAGTACCCACATGACAGCTCAGAACCATCTATAACTGTAATCCCATGGCATCCAATGCTTTCTTCCGGTATACAGACATACATGCAGACAAAATCTTTAAAAAACCAAAAGCCAGTCAGGTTTTTCTACTTGGGGAGCAGAGGCAGGCGGATCTCTGTGAGGTCGAGGCCAGTCTGGGCTATGAGACTTAGTTCCAGGACAGGCTCCAAAGCTACAGCAAAACCCTGTCTTGAAAAACCAAAACAAACAAACAAACACACCACCACCACATTAAAAGGTGGATGAGACACAACTCAGTAAGGTGAGAAGGCGAGAGGAAGGGGGAAGGGCAGAGGCCAGAAGTCGGGCTATTTGGGGCCTCTGTGCGAACAGCAGCAGACAGTACTACTGCAGCTGTCCTGTCTCGACAGGAAAGGTCAGGAAATGTTTCATCAGTTCATTCAGGGGTAGCGAAGCCCTGAGGGACAGAGTTAAACCAGCCATGCCCACAGAAGAACATGCCCAAATACTCCCCAGGAACTCTGCAAGAGTGGGAGGGAGTACCTTGTCCTTTCTGGGGCTTAAACTGCTGTTGCCAGCTCCCCACCCCGCCACAGTATCCAGCCAAAGGAGAAGATGGTGAGCCCCCTCATCCCACCATAGCAGCTAACATGACTTCTTTGGTGACTACTGCAACCAACCAACCTAACCCTTAAGAGTAGCAAGCTGCTTTCAATGAGGTTTTGGCTCTAGATTAGAAAATGCCCCCTTTTATTGGCAATGCAGTCAGTAACTTTCCTCAGGTAACTTCTACCCATCTTTGTCAGTTTCTGGCTTTTCTCTCACACTCAAGGAATGACCACTGACCGTGAGTTTCCTGAAAGTGAGTATGTTCCAGAGCTGGGTGGACAGCAGGCAAGTCTCCAAATTGACCAGGACCAGTACAAGCGTATGTGCCGGGAGAAATGCAAAGAAGACATCACAGGGCTGGCCCGGTGTCCCCTGACACACCTTTAATCCCAGCACTGGAGAAATAGAGGCAAGGCAGGCAGACCTCTGTGTGCCAGTCTGGTCTATATAGCTACTTCTGGGCCCACAACAGACATTGGTAGCCATGTCCTTGGTTCAGGGTGGCCAGTGTCATGACCCAGTAGAGTTGTGGTCCTGGCTAAGGCACCTCATGGTTCCCGTAAACTTGGGCAGGATCCTGGCTCTTCCTGAGGGTCTCAATTTCACTTAGGGACAAAGCAAAGGAATTCAGAAGATAAGACAAGTATGGTGTCTCACAGCTGTTTTCCCAGCTTTTGAGAGCCTAAGGCAGGAGGATTACTTTGAAACTGAGGCCAGCATGGGCTACAGGTAAGACTGTTCCAACAACTTCATAAGGAGAACCATTCTGTAACAGCAAGTCTGCTCTACGACAGAACAGTCAGAAGGTCCTGCACCTTTAAAGGGCCATCTCTAGTCCAGATGTGCAGCCCACAGAGCCCATTTCTGTGCCTGTGCTTCAGCCCTGCAGTTTTATATGTCGGCCAGGAGCAGAGACACTGGCTCGGATTGACTGGGTTAGCTGTCCCTGCTCATTCTACTACTGGAACCACCCCCCCATCCTTGGGGAAGCACCCAAAATTCAGGTTCAAAAATTAAGCAAATGTCCAAGATAGTCTAAATTATTATAAACACTACTATATGTGCTTTTCATGCCTTTAAAAATTATAAAAGCAAACCTGAAAAAAAATCCAACTATGTACAAGGCTAAGTTAAAGTTCACAACAAAAAGCCAAAAACTTGAGGGGTTGAGAGAAATGTTCTCTGAGAGGCTGAGGCCACGGGGACTCACAGTACAGATTTGGGTAAGCCTGTTTTCCGTTCCACTTCCCACAAAACACCCCTCCCTTTGTTACTCCCACAGTGAGGGAAAACATTCCACTTTAATTAAGTAGGTCACCACAGGGCACAGGATCTGGCTCTGACTCCCTCTGAGGAAGCCTAGGCTTTGTCAGTCGGGGTCTTCGTGCTTCTCCTTCTCAAATGAGGGGAGAGAGTTGGAAAGCATGGTTTGATAGATGTCCTCAGCCTGGGGGCCAGAGGTGAGCAGGCCACAGAAGCTGTGTGCTGTGTGAGCAGTACTGTGCAAGACCAGAGCACGGAGAGCCAGCCATACTGCTATACAATTCAGGAAGCGTGGAACAGATAAAAGCAAGAGAGGGGGAGGGGGGAGGCAGGGGAAAGGAGGATGAAAAGATTAATAGCAGGAAAGAAAGAAAAGAAGACGCTTCCCAAAGGGTGGCGCCTCTGGACAGGTTGGTATTACCTGTCAGGGAAAGGTTCCCCGAAACCTCCTTCCCGCCAAGCACTCAGCGCTCATGGTGTCTGCACTGAGAGACCCCGGAGAGCCCTCGGGACACCCTCTACCCCCACACTAGCTCTAGTCATGCATCTCAAGCTGCAAGTGCCAAGTGTACACCAGAGTTCCCTCTCACTTTAGAGTGCAAAATAG